CTGCCATATTTAAATCCAACTGGCATCAGACGGGCAACTAAACGCTGCACGAGTCTCGCACGGGCTGGCGTGCATCGGGAAATCCAGCTGGCGTGCAATCCAGCTGAATCCAGCTGGCGTGCATCGGTGAATCCAGCTGGCGGGAAATCCAGCTGGCGTCCATCGAGTCTCGCTGAACGCGCCGTGCAATCCAGCTGGCGTGCATCGGGAAACGCGGCTGCTACATGCGCTGCGTGCACGTCTCGTACATGTCCTGCTCGACGAACGTGTCGCCGTAGCCGCCCACTGGAGGCGAGTCCTCAGGTGGTGGTTGCGTATCAGGCTGAGTGGGCCCCCAAGGCTGCTTCGAACTCGAACTCGAACTCCAACCTGGCCCTTGAAACACAGGAAGCGGAGCTGGAATCGTCGGGCGCTCCGTCGGGCGCTCTGGCGACTGCGGATCGCTATCCACGTTAATGACGTCGATCTCCTCGGCCATCTCGCGCACAAATGCCTGCGCCCAGTCCATGTCGCCGCCGCCGCCCAGGCCCATCATGAGGTCCAACGTGTCGCTGACCTTCTGCAGGTCGGCCGCGCCGCTGCCCGCGACCATCGGCGTGGCCTTCTGGCGCCTCAGCGTGGGGGGATCGCCCTGCTGCTCGTCCGCCAGCGCGGGAGGAGCGCCCTTCTTGGCCGTCAGGTCGGCCGCGCCGCTGCCCGTGCCCTTCGTCGGGGTGCGCTGCAGCTCCAGGGCGTCCATCTCCTGGCTGCCGCCGACGAGTGCTTGGTATGACTTCCTTCGCCATGTAGTAGTCTGGCGGAGGAGGCCCTACCAAACCCTCGTCTATGAGACCTGGGTAGCGCGCGTCCAACGTCCACATGGGGAGGGGGGCAGCGGTTTTACCCACGGCTCCTTCGTGGGCTGCTTCGTCGGCTCTTTCGTCTGCTCCTCCTTCGTCGGCTCCTTCGTCGGCTCCTTCGTCGGCTCCTTCGTCGGCTCCTTCGTCGGCTCCTTCGTCGGCTCCTTCGCCTGCACCGCCTTCGTCAGCTCCTTCGTCTGCTCCTTCTTCATCGGCTCCTTCGTCGGCTCCTTCGTCGGCTCCTTCGCCTGCCCCTCCTTCGTCAGCTCCTTCGTCTGCTCCTTCTTCATCGGCTCCTTCGTCGGCTCATTCGCCTGCCCCTCATTCGTCAGCTCCTTCGTCGGCGACGCAGTGGCCACGGGGTGGAGCGTCAGCGTTGCGCTGCCTGGCACGACGACAGCGCTGTACTCATGGCCCGTTTTCGATTTCTTCACGACTCTGTCCGACTCTGGATGGTTACACTCGCGAAGCTCGACTGTGATCGGGATGTCGAATGTAAGGTCGAGCTCTTGAGCTGACCCAGGTGGAGGGCGCGTCACCCTGATGCGGAGCGACGGCTCCTGGCGGCGACTGTCCGCCATCTGAACGAATTGAGCCCGAACGGCTACGCTTATATACAATGGATGAGCGAGGAGGGAACGATTGGTTTACCATCGGGCCCTTGCGTAGGGTTCCCTCGGCGCTCTGTGAAACAATACCCCAGTCTTCGCAATAAAAGGAAGGCGGTCTGGACCCTCCAAGACAAGCCATTTCAGACCTCCCCCGTGGGAGAACCTTCCAAAACATCGCCCCCAGACCACCCCGGGCCCTCCAAGATAGCCTGGAAGAGACCCCCCCCGAAATGAGACCCCCCTCCCTTTATTGCGAAATCTGGTGTGACTAACAGCGACACAAGTGTCGAGGCGTTCAACGCTCCGCCAAGCCTCTTGGGCCCGTGAGGGCCCGCGAGGAGGGGCGACAATTAAGGGGGGGGAGGGGTAGAATAAATAAAATGATGTCATGGAGCATGGGGGGGTAGGATATGGATTTCTTAGCGTGGGGCCCGCCCAGGGGTGGGATGGATCAACGTTGAGCCCCCGCTGAACCGTTGAGCTGGATGGCCCTCGTGTCTGGAACGCGTGATCACTGGGGGGCCCTCGTCGCCCTGCGAACTGGGGCCCACGGGCTACGAACGACCTACATGTTCAGAGTGGCTTCGCCAGACGCCCCGGGTCACGCGAGCCACGAGCAACCGATATCCTCAGAGTGGCTTCGCCGATTCCAACGCCCCGTCCGCGCGAGGGGGCGCGCGAGCCACGAGCAACCGAAATTCTCAGGATGGCTTCGCCAATCCGACGCCCCGTCGGCACGAGGGGACACGCGAACCACGAACAAGCATAATCCTCAGAGTGGCTTCGCCCATTCCGACGCCCCGTCCGCGCGAGGGGACACGCGAGCCACGAGCAACCGATACTTTTTGAGTGGCTTCGCCAATCCGACGCCCAGTCGGCACGAGGGGACACGCGAGCCACGAACAACCGAAATCCTCAGAGTGGCTTCGCCCATTCCGACGCCCCGTCTGCGCGAGGGGACGCGCGAGCCACGAGCAACCGATACTTTCTGAGTGGCTTTGCCAATCCGACGCCCCGTCGGCACGAGGGGACACGCGAGCCACGAACAACCGCAATCATCAGAGTGGCTTCGCCCATTCCGACGCCCCGTCCGCACTAGGGAACACGAGAGCCACGCGCAACAGAAATTTGCAAAATGGCTTCGCCCATTCCGCCGACCCGCCCATCAGCCCTCTGGGCGTGAGTGGTTTAGAGAGCCCGCTCTGTTCTCAACCCCCTTCTTCCCCTTCGGGGAGGGGTTTGCCCCTCCCCCTTCCCCCTCCCCCTGGGCCTGGAGAGGGCGCACCGCGGGTGGTTGGAAGGGTCTTTTTTTCGACTCCTGGGAAGGCTAAACAACGACATCCCTCACGAGGATTCTGGCCCCGACGGGGGGGGGCAGAAAAATTACCCCCTCTTCTTTGAAGCCAGAATCATTGCTTTTACTGCGGTTTTGGCCCCATTTTGGCATTCTGAGGGGGCAGCGCTAATTAAAGCTCCCTTCTTCTTTCAAACCAAACTCACTGATGTTACTAAGGTTTTGGCCCCATTTTGGCCTTCTGAGGGGGCAGCGCTAACTGAAGCCACCCTCTTCTTTGATCGATTTCCTCCAAGATGGCCCCAGAAGCGCCCAGGAGGCACCAAGAGGCCCCAAGATGGCCCCAAGAGGCCCCCAGGAGGCCCCCAATAGGATCCCAAACGGCCCAAATGAGGCCCCCCCCGAGGCACCCAAGACGCCGAAAAGCCCATCAGGACGACCCTCTACTCGCCTGGGCGTCGTTTCTGGACGGGCAGGAGGAGGGGCCCGAACGACTCGCACCAGGGCGAGGGGCCCGAACAACTCACACCACGAGAAACCCGAGCGACTCACACCAGGACGAAGTGCCCGAACGACTCACACCACGAAGAGCCCGAACGACTCGCACCAGGAAGAAGTGCCCGAACGACTCACACCAGGACGAGAAGCCCGAACGACTCAAACCACGAGGAGCGCTTTCTCTCTCTCCTCCTCCGCCTCGTCCTTCTCCCGCCCCCACCACAAGGAGGATGTGCAAGGAGGCGGGGGGAAGGAGGAACAGGGGGGATATGCGGGGGCAGGCGGAAACGCGCCTGAAAAACACGACTGTCGGCATGCTTCGCTAGAGTTGCTGATTTCAGGGGCTGGTGGGGATGCGCGAAGCGTGAAGAATTTTCAGGAAAGGCTTCGCCCATTCCGCCGACCCGCCTGCGCGAGGGGGCCAACTCACCGTCAGAGTGGATTCAACATCCCTCGCCCCTTACTCGGGTGCACATGCACCGCGACAAAACACACGCAACTGTTTTATGTTTGATTCGTAGTGACCGCGGCTTTGCTCACGAACTATGGTTGCAAGGGCCCCCGCTGGCGCACGCTGACATCAAGCAGTGTTTACCGCATAGTATTTCCAAGCCGAGCCTGGCACTTGCATTTTCAATTGAGATGAACAATATATTCGTGCGAAACAGACAAAGAAGTACATGACATGCGCACGCATATGCACACATGTATTACTGGCAGGCGATACATGCAATTGCGCTATAGGTATACGTGCATGTGTATGCATGGAGCGCGTATACATATATATGTATATATAGCTATATGTATGGCTGCGTATATGTGTATGTTTGTCTATATGTGTATATCTATATATGTATATGGACGTGCATAGACGTATGTGTGTTGATATTTAATATTATATATTTATATATACACGTGTATATATATATGTTTAAACATATGAATTATGCATGTCCGTATATATATATATATATATGCGTATATATACACATATATACATATACATATACATATATAATATGTTTTGTATATATATACATATATGCATATGTGTGTATGTACATAATGCTTATGTACTGTGTATTGCGCGGCGTGAAATCTGATCCAACGTCTAAATTCTGATCCAAAGTATAAATTCTGATCCAGACTGGTTCGACAGCTCGGATCTGATCCGCGGGTTCGGATCTGATCCGCGAGGCGCCGATCAGAATAACTGATCCAAGCAACCCCAGGGCCCCTGCAGCGCGCGCTGCTCTGGTTCCGGTTCCGGTTCCGGTTCCGGTTCTGGTTCCGGTTCCGGTTAGGGATCATCCTTCATCCCTATCCCTCTCCATGCGTCCGGTTCCGGTTCCGGCTCCGGTTCCGGATCCCCCCCCCCCTCTCAGGCAGCGCGCGCTGCTCTGGTTCCAGTTCCGGTTCTGGTTCCGGTTCCGGTTCCGGTTCCGGTTCCGGTTAGGGATCATCCCTCACCTGACTATCCCTCTCCACGCGTCCGGTTCCGTTTCCGGTTCCGGTTTTGGTTCCGGATCACCCCCCC